TAATACCTACATATTACATAATTATTTCAAAATCATTTGAACATTGAACATTATAAAAGAATAGGCAATATTTGAAGCTATCGGCGAAGATTGATAAAAGTGAAAAAGTGTAGAAATTGACACCTTTCAATTTTTTTAAAATAATTTCTATGTTCCTATAATTTTGCAAAATAATGTCATTTCTTTTTATTTATTTATTCAATTCAAAATTGTCAGACTACTTGTAATTAATAAAAAATATTGCAATTCCCACGGCACAATGTTATTTTATTATTGACACCTAAATGACAACAAAAATATTTATTTTTTTTTTCTGAATAAAAATGTAAAACCAATAATTCTCAATTATTATTTATTAAAATTTTGTTTCTTGTAATATTTAACTCGAAAAAATTTCCTCGAATATTTAGTTTTTTAAATAAATTTTACGACTCGTAAACATTTCCTATAGTTTGAAATTGTTATAAATAGGACAATATAGCTTTTATACAGCTGCCAAAAATATATTGTTTATGCATATTATCTAATTGCTTTTGGTTTATGAAAATTCATATTTTAATTGATTTTAATTATTAGAAAGTACTGGTGCTTTAAAATCATTTGCAATAATAATTTTTGTATTTAAAAATTCATTTTATTTCCAACACAACACTATTTTTGTTGGTGTGACGCTATTGTCGCAATATATGCACTAGTTTTTTTTTTGAATTATTGGACGTCAACGGTATTCTCTTTGAAAATAAACCATCATCTTCATATTTTTTATAGTTACATCTCAGGAAGCATGACTAGATTCTCTATAAAGATTTAGATTCTAGCAATTCTCAAACAGCTATTTCCATTTTTCCGCTGCAGGTATATTGTGCTGCAATTTAGCAATACTGTAGCTTCATTATGCCGAATTTATTTTACTTAGGTTTCTGATTTTTATTACTTAACTCGGCCGTGGTTGAATAAATGCTTGTTTGTTCATTAAACGATCACATTATAAATTCAAATTCAATTTCATTGAAAATATTTTTACTTTATAATACAATTTTTTTTTTAGAATCGCACAGCTGAGCCTTGCATCACAATTGACTGAAAATTAGCGAGTATGTGGCGTAGCGGGTTGACTAGGTCTCTCCTGTGCTCTCATTTGTGAATGAGTATCCATTTCTACACGGATGAATCCAAGCTGAATGATAGTGTTGAAAGAGAAATATACTCTTTCAACGCTATCATTCTGTTTCTGCATGTAGTCTTCCAGACTACTACAGAAACTTTCGGGCTAAGACAGTCGCAATAAATGTGGTTTTAAAAAGGTTGGCGGGAAATGTTATTTTATGTAGGTGTATCAGCATTTTTGCGGACAATTAGCCAACAAAAAAGGTGTTTGTTGAAGCAGAGGCGTCTACTTCTAGAATGGTCCGGGACATTTCTCAATGACAAGGTACAATCGTTTGAAATCCTCGGGGTCCCCTCTGAAAAGGAAGACTTGGGGATGCTTTTGAGTACGCGCAAACTGTTGTTACTCAATGGTGTAATAAAGTAAATCAAAAGCAGGTGGGGAAATGGAATGACATGAAACGCGGCCACACAATTTTGGCCTATGCTTAATTTGCGTCGCACGTCGTATCTGATATCTTTCCCTCAGGGTGATTGGGCACTGATTAATTAGCGAACACATTAGGAGGATGGAACGCCCTGTTAACGATGTTTGTTGTGATGAGGTGTAAGAGGAAACTGTAGCTCATGGTCTATTCTTATTTCTAACTTTACCGCGGGGAAGACGCTAGTTAATTGGGTCGCATTTCTTTTTGCAAGTTACGAACATAGCGAATATAAATGACAGGAATTCGAAGAGGTTTATAAAGGACTGGGGTTGGTTGGGAATATGAAGATCCATTTTTTAACCTTTACAAACTAACAGGTTAACAAAGGACAACTGAGGTTGGGAATATGGATATCCAGCGGTATCACAATGAAAAATATTCTTGCCTTCAAAAAATATGTCCTCCATACAAATTGTTGCTATTGATAATTTATTAAAATAATAATAGTTACTATTAGTACTGAAATGTTATTGCTATATTATTATACAAATTTTAATTATTATACAAATTGAAAATTCGAAAAAATTTGAATGTAATTTTTTCTTTACATTTCAAAAACTAATCTTTTAAGAATTTTATTTGTACTCTCTCTTATAACACAGTTTATACATATATTTGTAAATTATACATTGTAAGTTTGTCATCGTAATTATTTTGCTGCGAATGAAAATAAAATTTAATGAATTTTTATGTAAAAAATGATATTGCATACTTTCAGGATAACGATAAAAGGGAAATTTTATATAGGCGCAACATAATAGCTAATACGCATAAATAGTTTCCTTGTCCGTATACGCATTTGATACGCGTATATTTGCGTTTATTATGCTATTAAATGTCTGAAGGAAAAAGCAGAAAGAATAAGAAAAATTTTACAGAACTTAAAAAATACAGATAATTTACAATAATATTTTATTATTTATTTGAGTCTACAAAAATATAAGTTGATAATTGTTAGCATTATTTATTTAAAATATTTTGATATGTATGTTTTACAGAGCAATTGAAAGCTATTAAAATTTTAAAATAAAAATACTTGTCAAGTCGAAATGTCTATATTCTTGGGTCTATTCCCATACAAATGAATACAATAAGCGAAATTATTTCATAATGGATCTTTTACTTTAATAAAAATAGATTAATGGCTGTAATCCTTTTTTGAAACGAAATTATTAACGAACCTAACGATTTTGTATTTCGACTACTTTTTACTTATGTAAAAAATTTTGTAAAGAAAGACAATATTGGCCGAGGTTTTTTATTTTAAATAGTAAAATTTCCATACAGAAAAAATTGAAGATAACGTTATCCTATAAGTATGCAAAATTTGTAATATTTTTATCATAATGATAATGGAAATTATTTTGTATTAAGGGAAGGTCAAAAAATGTCAGGGATGGACGCAGCTGGATTTTCTAAAAAAGTTTATTGGCTTCGTTAGGTGGATTAAGAAGTTTTTACTTTTACTTTGGGACTGGTCGGTGGTTTAAATGAGTGTTGTAATTTTTAGTTAAGCGGTTGCCGATGTGTCTTTTTCTTGCCCTACTGATGTGCGGCGCTTAGGTGGTCAGGCAAGACTACCCTTTCCTGCTAATTATCACAAATCTTTAACATTAAATTTGTAATTTCGATATAAATAAAATACAAATTATTTTTGAAGACATCTGAGGCGCTTGCATATGTGCATTTTTATGTCTTATATTTTCTATGACTTAAACAAATTCAGCTACTATTTAGCTATTTTTAAAATTACTTTGTGCGAAACAATATAATTTAATTGTAATTTTAAATCGATACTATTAAACATTTAAGTAATTTTAAATAACAAAAAAATATCTAATAGCACCATTTCACTTTTGTACCAATTATAGTTTGTTTGACAAATTTATGACAAGCGGCTTCCATTCTATAAAATGAAACAATTGTAGAATTATTTTGTTAGTCTTGATTTGTTAATCGAAAACCAAACAATATAATTTTAAAATGGATTCTCAAACTTTACCTTCTGAAAATTTTCATTATATAAAGAATAAAGTACGCTTTGTGTGTCGCTACCTTGGAACCGATTTCATAGATCCAAGATACAAACCAAATTTTTTAACATATTTAATGTATTTTTTGACTACCTTGTATACATTGTTTGTTGTGTATACTGTAAGAATAAAATTTGATGAAGATAAGATAAGTGTTCTTGAAACATTGTGTGTTAGTGGAAATATAACCAAGGTGAAAGTTTTTAAATGAGTTGAAAATATAGATTTTTTTTTTGGGACCAAATTTTATTAATTTTTTTTTTTTAATTTACAGACATATGCAAAATTAAATTTGGCAGTTTCTTATTCAAAATATATGAGATCTGCTTTTGAAGATTTACAAAAAATATTTGAAAAATTTGAAAAAATTGAAAGATACAAACTAATTTTATTGCAATCATTTAAAAAAATTAAAATTATTGTATTATTAAATGCTCTCGCATATTTTTTTGCAATGATTGTAATATGGACATGTCCTTTGTGCTATTATTTTTTGAAAGATGAAAAAATGTTTCCCGTAAATCTTCTAATTCCGGGAATTTCTCCCGATACAACAATAGGTTATTATTTTACATACATTCTACAGGTTTTCGCTGTAATATTAGGTGGTTTTGGCAATATTATAGCTGATACATGTTTTATAAGTCTTGTATTAAGTACAACTATCCTAACGGACATATTACGGCAAAAAATTTTGGATTTTAATAATGAATTAAAAAAAAATAAATCTGATAGAGAGAACGTTAACTTAAGAAATATTTTCGAATGGGTAAATTTTTATTATGCGTAAGTTATATTTATTAACTGGTAAGAGATTATTGAGAAATTGGCGAAATATGATGAGATTTTTGTAGATATTTCAAGTTTTTAAAATGTAGACTCATATTTTGCCAAAAAAAAATCATAATAACTTCATTACCTAGTTTTCATTCTCCGAATTTGAAATTCTGAATTTCCATTTTTATATATTGCCAGCAAATCTATAATAAATTATAAATTTGCGATCAAATTTGCATAAGCGAATTCATAAGTATTATCAGGTTTAAACCAATGTCTGGTATATAATGCCAAATTTTATTGGAGGTGTTATTAGAATTTTTCATTTACTACCGGACTTAATTTTTGAGTATAGCGATTTGAGAATTTTTCGCATTACCGTGATTTAATAACAATTGCATCCTTTTAATGGCAATATTACATAATTTTCATAGATTGAAATAACGGATACACAAAGTAATACTTACAATATGCTAATGTAATACTTATTATTATATTTTTACAGGTATGCTAAAAAAATACAAAAAATATTTTTTACTGTGGTATCTGTTGATATATTCTCTAGTGCTTTTAGTTCTGTCGTTGGTATATTTATAATAGTGGTAGGTAATTGGCCTCCAGCTTATATAGCTACAGTTGTAAATATGATGTCTGTTTATATATACTGTATTATTGGGACAATATGCGAAAATGCAGTAAGATTTTTTATTTTATGAAACTCATTCACAATATTGCTTCGATTCGTTTATTTACAAAAATAATATTTCAAATTTTTAGGCTGATGAAGTAATTGATTTGATTTATGAAATTGATTGGTATTTGCTTAAAGTGAGTAATCAAAAAATTATATTAATAATGTTAATAAAATCTCAGCAAAAAGAGCTTTTTACGGTAGCTTATGTTGCACCATTATCAGTCAATACTGCGCTCCAAGTAAGCTTTATTTTTAAAATTTATGAATAATCAATTAAATTAATTAAATTTTATAATTTTAGGTAACAAAAACAGTTTATAGTTATTGGATGATGTTAATGAATTTCGTTGAATAATTTTCTATTAAAGAAATTTTTCCTTCGAAATTCTTTCTACCGATTTGGGGCCGTTTTTATAAATGGTAACCGCAGACATACCATGAAAATTTATTTTCAAAAATTATTGCTATATTTTTTGCAGAAAGCATCGTGAAATCTATGGCTCTGTAGTTTTGATTGTGATTGCTATAGAAAATGTTTAAAATTGTTTTGTAGAAACTTTGTTTGTGCACATTAAATTTTAGTAAATTACTATAGTAGAATTAAAAATTTGGAATAATAGACCTTCAAATATGGTTTATCTTAAACTTATTTATATTTTATTAAAATTTTTAACAAATTTACGAAATTTTTGATTAATAAACAGAAACAATTTTTTTTCATTCGATTTATTGAAATAAAATTTTTAATAAGTTTTTATCGCCAATTCTAATTTTAATAAAAGAATTTTAGCCACTTAATTTACTCTTAAAATTAATTGTTAATTTTTTGTTTTCTGAATTTTTTTTAAATTAAAATAATTTGATTAAATCAAAAGAATTTTGTTTTTTGGTTTCTTTGCCCTATTTTATGATTAATTTTTTGTTCAGTTTCTTTGTTTTGTAAATTAAATTTTAACAAATTATTTTATAAAAGATTCTAATATTTAAAATTAATAAATTTATTCATTTGTTTTTTTAAATTCTATTTTTGGATTATTACATATATTTATAATTAAATATTAATGTTAAAATAATAATAATTATTAAAAAATAAAGCATCCAGCACTACCTAAAAATTTAATTTTCAAATTTTTTCACCATTTGATTTAACTTTTTTTATACAAATTCTTTTTATGTAAAGACCCACACTAAAGGCAGTAATAAGAAAAATTATGGATACGGCAGAACCAATTAGAACAGCTTTTTTTCGTCTTGTATTTGGTACTTCTATTGTAACAATATTACTACCAATTTCTTCATTATCTTGTGATATACTAAATACTTGAACAGTATATGTTCCACCGTCCATTAAATTTGCTAATAAAAAATGTGTATCATATGTATTATCATGGGCAAAAAGTTTATGTTCTGGTTCAAGCCATGTTTTAATACTATATAATCTTAATTGATCCAATCCATTATTTGGTGGCTCCCATAATAATATAAAGCCTCTTGATCTTGCCTTAACTGTTAAATTTTGTGGTGGTCCAAAATTGAATGATGGAAATGTTGGTGAAATTGTTGATTCTGTTGGCATTGTTGTTGACATAGCTGGTGCTTGAAATAGTTCTGGTTCGATGTAATCATTCACCTTAGCTTAAAATATTTTTGGTATATAATGAGTAAAATATAAGTTAGAAATTTTCAGTTGATTTCTCATTTTTTTTTTTTTTTTGTTTTTTTTTTTTTTTTTTTTTAATCAATTGTCTTACGTTTTGTTGCATGCCGGAACATTCTACTGAACATACCATCTCCGGATGGATCTTGACTTAATACCATAAATTCATATTCACGTCCAGGACGTAAATTTTTAATTGTTGCTTGAAGTTTACTACCAACTCGTGCTATACGCCATTCTGGAGCTTCTGATAATCTATACATAACCGTATATTCTAAATTTGGTCTTATTTGACCTGAAAATAATTCGAAAGAGATGAAAAAAATTATTTTATTTTTGTTTTGTTAATTTTTCACAGGTTTTGATTTTTTTTTAAATACACAGTTAAATTGTAAATAATACGTGTATTATAGAATACTAGATCTATTCTACAAATTATATGCATTTTATGAATATTTTTATTTAATGCCTACCTGGTTGCCATGCAATTGAAATTTCAGTTTCTGTACTATTTGCAGATAAATTGTATGGTGGCCTTGGAGCAACATTTTCTATTATCAATTCGGTTTTTGCTGTAATTGTTGCTGCATCATTTGTTGCTGAACATTGATAGATACCACGATCTGATTCTGTGATATTAGTAATTGTTAAATTTCCACCTTCCAATTTATATCGACCTTCTGGTAGTGGTGTATTGTCTTCCTTTTTAATGTAAATAATTTGGAATTATGAAAATTTATTTAAAATAAATTCCAAAACTGTTCAAAAACTTTAATCAAAAACTTTCCGAACAATTTTTATGTGAGAGAAAGTTTTGATGTGAGAAAATATATGATTTAGTTAGAACTTAATTTTATTATGAATCTTTTTAAATCACAGAAAAAGTCAGATTTTCGCTTTTGTTTTATAAAAAATACACAGCCGGAAAAAATTTCTCTCATTTACACCACTTTCTCTCTGTCTCTCTTTCGTAAAGGGTACTATTTTATCTGTATAAAAGTACTAAATAAGGTAAAGTGTAAAGGAGAGTAATTCCGCAACATTTGCACAACAGTTTATTTTATACTGAATGTGTATTTGATACGTATAAGAACAAAAGTACCGCAATTACATGAAAGTTATTTATGACAAAAAAATAAAAAATTTTCTTTTTTTTACTCACTTTTATCCAAACTATAACCGGCCTACGATGATCATCTCTGTCAATGGCATCACAAGATAATTGAGCATCATCACCCAATTTATGTATATACATTCCTTTTGGTAATGTTGTAAAAACTGGCGGTCTTTGTACAACAACATTTATTACTGGTGAAGGTCCATCAGTTCCCAATTCATTATATGGTGTACAAGTGTAAGCACCCGAAAAGCTTTCATCAACTTTCGTAAAGTATAAACTTCCGTTGTTCTTTTTGTATACGCCCTATACAAAGATATAAGTGAACAAATGTATGTATGTAAATTAAATCATTGAACTATGACTCAAAAATTGCTTAAATCAATTGGAAAAAAAAATTGTTCTAAAAAAATGGGAACAATAAAAAAATAAAAGTTACAAAAAATTACTCACTGGTACATTGTATGAGTCAAATAAAAGACCATCTTTTTCCCAGTGCATATTTTTCAATGGTGGATTAGCTCTATAATGGCAATCTAACATTGCTGGTTGACCATATGGTAAATATACTTCAGGTGACGAATAAATTACTTTTGCTCTATCTACGAATAGTTTTTTTTTTTAATTTTTTATAATTTAATTTTATTTTAATTAATTTTTTTTTTTAATTGAACCTACATTGAATATTTAAGAAAGCTTTTGCTGTTTGTACTTCTGCAGTTTGGTCATTTTGTACTTGACATTCATATTCACCTAAATCACTCATCATTGTTGGATCAATACTTAAACTTCCATCTGGATCAATTTTTGCTCTACGCCATAAATCAGCATTCTCTCTAATTGGATCATTATCTTTTAGCCAAGTTACTGTTGATATTTCCGGATGTTTCATAAAGCAATGAAAAATTGCTGTTTGTCCTTCCATTAATGTCATATTAATTGGAGGGATTTTGATTAATGAGCCACCTTTAAACGAAATAAATAAATTATTAATACTATTTAAAATGTAAACAAAAAATAATGGCAAATATTGAAAAGGAATATTTTACCTTCAACTGTTAAATGATGCCATGTTCCATTATTACGAAAACTTGGTGTTCTATTCGGAAAATTTATTTGGCAATGATACCATCCTTGATCTGATTCACGAATAGCTGTTAAATTTAATGAGGCTTTTCCGTAATCTTCATGATTTTCAACTAAACTTAATCGGCCGGCATAGCGTTCACTAACAGATATTGTCCCAAAATATTTTGAAAAAATTTGTTTATCCTGTAAAATAAGAGAATAATTAGACTTTCATCAAGAAAAAAAAGACAAGTAATTGATTCGAAAATATTATTATTATTATCAAATGAATTGTTTAAGTCAATCATCAATTAGCTTGCAAATTTAAAATTGCACGAAAAGTAAAACAACCTTCGTTTAAACGCACAAAGCGCGGTTATAAGATTATCAAACAAAATCGTCATCATTAAAAAATGGAAGGAAAAAAATGATGAGGCGTCGGAAGACATTAAACTGTGTTGGTATGAGATACCTAAAGTTATTGAATTCATTATCATTATAAAAAAAAACAAAAAACGAAAAATGAGAGGCGACTACTATTATACAAACGGTCGAAAGAACGTTACAGAACCGGGTGCATCGTTAGTAGATATAATGTCGATATAGAGCGCGTCTATATTCCTATATAATCGCAGAAGTAACAAGAAAAATTGCCGAGAAACACGAATGAAAAGGCACCTAATATTTCCTACCTAACCTTCCCTCAATGCAAGCAAAGTTATTTGACGAGGAATGTTATCAAAGGCTTCGCCAACGTCTGTGAATAAGACGTTGATCTGACCAGATCGCTTCATTTTAAACATAGTATCAGAAACAAATTCGTCTAAATTATTAACCGTAGAATTTTCAGAAGATAATGTTTTATTATAAAAATAAAAGTTTGATAATAAAAGTAGAAGTAATCAACCAAAATCTTTTCAAACAATTTATGAATATAATGGCTGTTTTAGCTACTGGACTGTAATTATTAATTAAACAGCAGAACATCTGCTTATAAATTTGCAAAACATAGATTTTTTTCCAAATTTAGGGAAACAGGCCAGCAAACACTAAAAAATTAAATGGCAAAAAAAGTTGGCTGGCAACACTAGGAGTACATTTACGCAGCACGTTACGTGACACTCTATCAGTACCAGAAGAACAATCGTTACACAAGGACAGGGGATGTCGAAGAAACTTATCAATTTTCAAATTCAAATAACTCAAGCAAAAGCTAATAAAGTCAATCACAATCCTAGAGAAAGCTTCATCAAAATACAAATGCCCACAAGTTCAAAAGCGTCGTAGTTATTACCAGTAAAGTTATATCAAAAACATCTGAGGACTTGTCTAGTTTCAGAGAAAATGGGTAACCATCACAACTACATTTACTCGTATAATGTATGAAATCATAGAATCCTTTGAAATTCAAAAAAATATGTTAGCTAACCGTATTTCTTCTTGTATGCCTCCACAGAACTAGATTAGTGAACAATATATGAAATATATGGAGGAATTTATAATTATATACATTTATATTCCCTCATATAAAAAACAAATTTTAGAACATAATGAAAAGGCACTCTCGTTATGTCCATAAATCATTTTCATAATGCAAATTTTATGTAATTAGCAATTCAAATTACAAAACAAAAATTAAGAAATGCATCATAATTAGTCAATTATGGGGAGCTTTTTTTTATTATTTGCCTTACACCAAGGAATCATTTTAAATTTCCCCTTCTTTTGATAATGAACTTGAAATAAAAAAAAAATATTTTCATTTTTTATTTTAATAATCTAGTATTCGGTAGAGTGTGTGTTTTATTTCATTTCGCCATTATTGAATAATTTATCAAAAATAAAACAATGATAATCTTCACAACTTAGATATTCTACTTGGTATCCCACGTAACATTTTATTGCGGAATTCTAGTTATTAAGCTCATATCGACTTTTATAGCACTTTTTATAAGTCTTTTAAGGAAGCTTTATTGTTCATCTTATTGTTGCGCAACCGCAACGAAATGTTTTAAGTAGCATATAACGCTAAAGTGGAGAATTTTATAAGGCTCCGCAGCAATTGCTACAATATTTATAGCACAAGTAGTTTTATAAAGCTCGAATAGAAGTTCCTTTAAGAGTGTTGAGCAAAATTATGGCATCTCTAATATAGATGCGCATTGTATTTCTTTTAATATTGTAATTTATGTATGATATAAGACTTATGTATGTCAGTGTATGCGCGTGTTATTTTTTATATTAATATAAAAAAAACAAAAACATAAGTGTTAAATAAAAACAAAAGAGAAGTAAATAAAAAGGAGAGAAGTAATAAATGAAAAAGAAAAGAGAAAAAATTAATAATAAGAAAAATATTTATGAAAAGAAGAGATAGATATAAAATTTTAAATTTTTTTAATTTTGTCAGTTTTTAAAATTAATAGTAATTTCTGAATCTATTCAAGAAAAATAATAAATTTTTTTTGAAACGAAAGCAAAAAAGTTGTTGCCAAAGAAATTTTGTCGACTTTTTTTGCATTGTACCTCGAAAAAATACTTCCCCATTCGAAAATATACGGTATTATAAAAAAATAAAATAATTTTTTTTTAATACAATTTTAAAATAAATATGAAAATTTCGTAAAACTATGTTAAAAAGTTTCTAAGGTAATATTTTGACATACATATTAAACATAAAAGTTATTTTGCAAGTTTTTACTTGAATTTAAATAAAAATTCACTTTTTAAATTTCGAAATTTTAATTCAAAAATTTACCACCATCTTTTTCATTAAAAGAATATGGCCGCAAGATGGTCTTTCTCTTATAAGATAATCATTGTTATAGGGAACCTTAAATTGTTTGAGCTAGATAACCAATGCTGATTAAAGATTATTTTTGTTGATATAGCATTTCTGACACTTTAGCAACAATATCAATCTAGCATTCAAAATTATTCTTTTAATGAAATTATTAATGCTACTATAAGAATATTGTAATATTATAGCAAGGTTATTGTTCTTTCCACAATACTCTTGTTAGAAAAACATTTTTGGTTTTGTTATAGGATCCCGCAACACTAAACTTATAACAACATTACCTACACACTTGCAGAAAGTCCTATTACAGCAATTGTTGGCAAGAGTTACCAAAACAGTTTTATAAAAGTAATTTTCCCCTTATAAGAAAAAAACATCTCTATAGAACCAAAAGTTTTGCTTGGGAGTGTAAAGAGAGCCTTATAAGACGATTTTCAAAATTTAGCGCACTAAAATGTTACGTGGGATATGAAAGTTGATGAATTACCCAAAAAGTATTGTGCTAGAGAAAGTCACACATATATTTTCTACTTGAGACTCACAAAATTTCTTTTTGTATATAGATTAAGCTGTATATTATTTTGAAGGTCATATTTTGTATTTTTGAAAAATTAGTTTTGTCTGACAATAAAATGATTATCGTTGTTACTTAATCTGTTACGTTTAGTTTATATAATATGTCTGTGGTACGAGCATATTATCACAAATATCCTATTAATATTAGATTATAAAAATTTTTGTGGTAGTTATTATAGAAATTTCATTTGCTAATTTGTATAATGAGTTAATTTTTTTAATGTATACAGTTGGATAAATGAATTGAATCTGGATAGCAAATATCTAATTTCAACGATACAAGTGGATTAACAAAGTTTATTGGATTACTAGTTCATTGTATTAGCCATTTTTTAAATGCAAATTGAGAATATCGAACTAAAATAGTTAAATACTAGAAAATCGATTGATTATTTTCTGTATATATATATGTTGAAAAATGTAATATCGGTACCTATTATAATAGGCCTGGCATACTCAAAAAATTTCATTAATCTGTGATGTCTGCAAAATAAATACAGATTTCATCAACTTTAATCAAAAACAATTTAGGAGAAATTGAGATGCCACAAATGACGGGTTAACATTCTATTATATATTCTCTATATGTAAAAATTGGTGTCATCATATAATTTCTCATATAACAATATACGGTCAGTGAAAAGAGAAAAAGTTTTTTAATTCAATTTGATAAGTTCAATTTGAGGGGAAAATTTTAAAATGTAATTTTCAATTCGGTCACATGGAAATACTGCATTTAATTTATTGCAATCAATTCAATTTAAAACTTTCTTTGGCTTATTAAAATAATATTATTAAAAATTACTCACCTTATTTATCTTCTTAAATATTAATTGGACTTATATTCAAAAATAAAAATGTGAACCGAAAACTGACAAATACAAGTCAATTACTTGAATATAACAATAACAAAAATGATAATATAATGTAATTATAACAAAAACTTTTGCGGTCATTTTGTATTTAATTTTAGTATTTCTAATTGAAAATACATGGATTGCTTAAAAAACACGACATTTATACACGCGATAGGTCAAGTTTACTAATGAAGAAAATATTTTATGCGCCTATAATAACTGTTCTAATATTCAAAATGTGTAATAATAAAATTTCATAGACATTTCGAACATAGGAAGTTCAAAATTACAAATTTTTTAAAATTTTAAAATAATTAAGTGTTATACTAAAATTATCATAAATTATTATTCATTTATATAATAATATTATATTGTATAAAGTGTTGATTTTTAGCACTTCTCCAAAAAATTTTTGAAAAAAAGTGCTTATTAGTTTCACTCTGCTACAATACAAAAGGGAAAAGTGCTACAATACAAATCATTGGTTTGACCAACTTTATTCTTTTTAGGTAATATGAAATCAGATTTCCTACCCTATATCTTGTTGTCAAACATATGGCAAAAACACGTTTTTATTAAATGAAATTTTCAAAAGAGAGCAAGATTAATTAAAAAATTAATTGTAGTTTGTAAATTTTTTTTTATTAGGATTAGATTTTAGTTAAGGTAAATTAAAATAAAACCGTGTAAAATTTTAGATATTCTGAAAATTTCATATTATTAAAAAAAAATCATATTGCATATTTTTAGGGATACAGCTGTAATTTCTAACGAATTTTTATTAAAAGTTTTAGGTTCCATAATTTGAGATTAATTATTGACTACCAGAGTAAAATTGCTAAATTAAATAAATTAATTTATATTAAAACTTTTATAATATTATTCTAGTAAATTAATAAAGTTAAAAAAATTAGAAATAATTATTTATTTTTTCACGATAAGGTTTGATAATTTTATTTTCTGAAAATTTTATTCTTGTTTAAATTATTTATTCATACCCAAATTGAGTAGCATGAAAATGAAAAATCCTTAGACGAGAATTTTGAATAATTTTTGCACAAGGTGTGTGTAAACATTTTAATATTGTATACACACATTATGTAAACAATATTAGTATACACAAATGTATATGCAAAAGAAAGAAAAAAACCTTCACAATGACCTTAAATATTTTTTATTTATAAAAAAAAAAAAAACAAGAGGAGGTGTGTATAAAATAACTACAAAAAAATGGCAAATAAATTTTTCATTCCTTTTCCACTTATATTTTTTTATATTTTATGTATAATTTCGTGTTTAAAATTGCAAATAAAATTTTAAAATTAACTATAATAATATTATTATTTATGGTTATTATATTTATTATTATAAATAAATTTATTATACACTTAACATAGAAGCTAGTTTATGTAATACATATATTTCTGTGTGTATATGTATAACAATAATAAAAAAATAAATATATATATGTTATTTAACATTAAACTTACTTACATCTTTGCTCCAATAAACCGCATATGGTATGTCATATTCATAGGGAAAATCTATTTGACAATTGAAAACGACATATGATCCGACCTTGGCTTCTAAATTTGATGTTGTATCTTCATCTGTGCACTGAACACAGGATATATTAATTAAAATAGTAACTAATAGAACAAATGTAGCAAATACTCTTGATAATAATATTACAGTTATTTTACTAATATTATTTATTTGATATTGTTGTTGTTTTTGTTGATAATGGTGCTGATGCTTATGTTGTTGCATATTGCATTCATTTATTTCAAATTTCACGTGTTTCTTTGATCTCATATTGTTATATAGTAAGAAAAACAAAAAAAAAATCTATTTTATTGTTTATATTTTTATTAGCTACATATATTTATACAGGGTGTTTCACATAAGGTGGTAAGAAATTTCATAGATGATTCGTTAATTAATTTTCAACAAAAAATTGTATGGGTTAGGTAGGAGGAAGGGTTTTTAAGTATAATTGTTTTCAAGATACAGTTTGTTGAAAAAAAATAATACAAGATTTTTCTTGTATATAAATAAGTGCTTATACCATCGAAACCGTGCGACATAGAGTAACTGACATCGGCTTGTTGTACAGGATATTGATTGCTTTAATTTTGGTCTTGCAGTCAATTTGATTTGAGTCACAGTTTTCGAGATAAAGCTCGTCAAAATCAGAATTTTTGTTTATTTTTTTGAAATTTTTTTTTAAAAAAGTCGAAATTTCTCGAAAATTTATGTTGTTAATATTATTTTTTTTATATTTTTTTCGAGGCACAATAAAATCTAAAAGTTAACCCATATAACATTTTCCTCCATCTTATATATTTGTTCTAGTTAAACGTGAAACATGTTTAAAAAACTTCTATATTTGCAGCCCCTCCTCCCCCGCCCCCTCCCCCTCTACCACAACCGAACACCTTGTTTGAAACACTCTGTATATATTGTACGTATTTTTATATTATAACAGTATGTTTTATTTTATTCTTTTGTTTATAAAATTTAATATTTTATTTAAAGCATTTTATTTAAAATACAAAAACAGAGTATACTGATAATAATAATAAAATTGAGCACATTATGTGTTTATATATATATATGTATGTAATAAATATACATACAAACACGTATGGGAAATAACATTCATACTGCACACAATTTATGATGTGTTTGTTTTTATCTAAATTATAATTTCGTTAAATGGCTAAGTGGCTTACTCTATTTAGCACAATATAAAATTGAATATGGCATAAAATGTATATTAGGTCAGCAATGGGTGGCTGGACATTATGCATTTTATGAATGAAATTTTTTTTTGTTTATTTTTTTTAGTTCTGAACTATTTTTTCTCTTTATTATCAAATTTTTTCCTTTTTAATGTTTTTATTCAATAAAATATTTTCTATTATTTTTTTTGTTTTTAATTTTCTATAATTTTGTTTGTTTAAGCTTTAAAGATATTTAGACCTACACATAGGCATATATCTGAAACCATAAAAGCGTTCATAATGTGCCTAATAAATAAATTTCAAAATGGAAATTTCTATAAGTAGGTACACCAAAAATTTTTGTCATGTCACATTTTTACATTTTACTTAAATATTCTAAAAAGAAATTTATTAGTTTCGTAATAGATTTTTAAACAAATTTGATGTCTGCATACAAACATACGTATACGTTATATGAGAATTTGTACGATCATTATTCTGGTATATAAAGTTGGGGAACAAAATTTTTATTTGAATTTTAAAATGTTCATAATACCAAAAAGCCATAGAATATTTTTAAAAATTTCGTTTTTTGTAATTTAGTTTATCGCAAATATATGTGAACTTGAACTAGACATTTAATTAAGTTTTTTTTTTTAAGGGAAAAATTTTATGAAATTTGTTTTTATCCCTGTATGTCTTATATATTTCTTATATAATATGCGTCAAAATATGCGTTATAATATGCATGTTGAATATATTAATTTTTAAAAACATATATATATACATATAAAGCTAAAAATGAAAGTATTTTAGTAAAAGACTAGTCAAGTACTCTGACTTAAAAATTTAAATACAAAAAAAATTCGAATTTAAGAAATTTTTTCGAAGTTAATAACCTTATTTTGCTACTATGTATATTAGTAAAATTTCTTTCCAAATTTGCTAATTTTTCAGCAAATAAAAATATGCTTCTAGTAAGCTCAGAGTTTTAGTCTGTCCGCCTGCTCATCAGTTTATGCGGCCGTTTATTAAATTTCAGTTTTATGGCAGTTTATTGCCAAATTCGAAAATTAATAACTAAATACTCTTTTAATTTTTCTATTTGACTCATCCTAAAACTATGCAATAATTTTGACCTGATTAAGAGAACTAATGTAAGAATTAAAATTTTAAGTTAATTACAAGGAGTTTGAAAAAGAGAAAACTGAAATTTTCATGTTTTTTAATATTGTATAATAGGGGGAAGGTCTTATTTCTCAAGTATGTGTGTTTGAAATTTATGAATTTTTATAAATTAAATTTTTTTTTTTAGGTAAATTTAGTCTTTTTTTCTTGTTCTCACTTTTGTTCGAATTAAAGAGACTTTTTTTTTGGTCATTTAAAATCATAATTTAATAACGATGACATTTTCAATTAAGAATAATGGGTTTTTAGCTTGTCATAGGTCGCATTTTCGTGATTTTATATTATTTTCTATAAAATACAATAAAATATATAAAATGTGCAAAAAAAAAAAAAAGATTTGTTTTTTTATGAAACAGGAAAATCATTTATTCAAAATAAACAAGGAATTTTTGATCTAGACCTTGAAATCTTATACATGGGGTTGTTTTTGTTTATATAATATTCAATTTTTGTTTATAATGATTCTTTTATTTTAATTTAATACAATTTTACTTATAACTGCTCATATGAAATTTAATAAATTTAAATCCACTTAAGAATTTAGTTTGTACATTTAATGAAATGATTTTAATTTTATATACTTTAATCTTATTACAGTTATGTCATCTATAATATGTGAAAGAATTTGTTCTTTAATTTAATTGTACTCTTTAAAGGGGTACATTAAATACACTAACAAGTAACAAGTTGTGAGATTCAAAAAAGAAATGTTTGTCATTTTTAGTTTATTTCAGTTAGCATAAATTTTTGTAAGAAACTTGCTTCTTAGATATACTGCTTTACCTGACTTTCAGCTCATTGATGTGTATTAATCTTTTTCTATCTTTTCGTATGTTTGAGAGGCACTTTTATATACTTTAATATAAATATTTGAAATTTTATGTGCAGGTATGTGTTAGTAGTAGTAGTAGTAAGAGAGGGGGGCTCCACCGGTACACCCGCGCAAAGCCCATGCACTAGGCCAACAGAAAAAGGCCCCTCGGGAACCCTCAGAAAACACCCACGCAGTTCGACACAAGACCCCCCTATCCAAACCAGCCAACCTCAATGGCGAAGCCCAAAAGCCGCGCAAGAGATATCTCGGAAAGGTCCTCCAGGTTATCGTAAAAATAAGCCCGCAAAGCACGCCTTCTCTTCCACATCAGAAACGGACAGGCACAGAGGATATGCTCTACATCCTCCACCTGCGCCACATTCCGACACCCACGACATACATCCGTCATAGCAATCCAAGCCTCCTGGCCATTTTCCCCAGAAGGCAATGCCCCGTCCGGACCCCAACCAGTGTGCTGAGATATATCAACATATTATATATTATTGTATAATATGCCCTATTATATATCAACAGCAGGTATTTGTTAGTGAATAAATTATTTCTTCAGACCCAAATTTTTGTATATCTCCTCCTTTTTGACAATACGTTCCATCAAAATCAAATGTAAATTGTAAAATTGGAAAGCGTAAAAAGGGAATCAATTATTTCTTCTACTTGATCCTTGAAATTAACGTTTTAATTCTTTTTAATTTCATTTTTTGAATGAAACTCAAGGGAATCTTAAATTCATACAAGTTGTACCTGCCATTTACCTAACATTGGTTTATTTGACATTTTTTAAAAACTGTATCCTAGACTTGATTCGATATTGCGCTTAAGATTGAATTTTGTCAAGATTTTACTCTTAGAATAAAAAAATAATATGACAGAATATGTCAGAATAATTTAATTTTGATATTTTTTGATATTTTTATAGTTAAAAATCATTCAATTTAATAAAGTTACACTCTATATAGTAACGCAACTCTATTGAAATGTGTATTTATTAAATAAAAATAAGTGTAGAGAATGAAATTATTATTATTGAAGATATATATATATATATAAATGTGTCAAATATATGTACAACCTTTTATAAAATTAAAAAAGGCAACAACAAAATGAAATAAAATTATTTGACACTTAATTATGGGAACAGCTTCGTTGCCTACACTTAATTCATTTCTTACTTATTTAATAATTAAAAATTTGTAGAGTCAAGTTAGTAATTAATTTTATTATATACTATACATTACATTGATGTAGCTCATAGTGCCCACTCATATTCATTGTGAATAAGTAATTTAATAAAATTTAATAATTTTTAATTAAATAATTCGAATTATATACGTAAAATAAAAATATGTGTGTGTATATGTGCACAATTGTAATTGAGAAAAACTCATTGCAAAAATATTATTCATTTAATGATATTTGGCATATTATTGTTCTCCTTTTATTTTTTTTTTTTGGTTCACTTTTCATACAAGTAGATATTATGTCAAAAATCTATTTTTAACATTGACATACAAAATACGTCCATGTTGACATAATGCATTTGCAATTTTTTTTAAATGTTCTAATAACTTAAGTAATATTGTTAAGAATATTAAGGAACTAATGAAATTTAATTTTGTTCGCCATCATACAAAACTTGCTACAACATGTTCGAGATAATTTTTGAGTTACTCATTTCTTATTGACTTATTTAACATTTCATCAAAGTCAAATATGTAAGATAAATAAAAATTACTTAAAAAAAAATTCGGATTCAAATTTCATAATTAATTTTAAATATTAAAGAACTCAATATTATTTGGTAAGTGTTATAAAAAACTGAAACTAATTTGATTTGATCCAATTTTTTTAATTAATCTCAGTCAGTATATTGTTATATAATCCACATATTTATATACATGTATTGTATTGTGTAATATCTAAACCAAAAATTTCATTTCACAACAGATTGAATGAATGTTTGACTAACTCCATAAATTAAATAGAGGAAGTAATTAATTTGTAAAAAGAAAATTTCGACTATACAAATATTATATACAAAAATTTTTGGAAATAAAATTAAAAATGAAATATTTCATAAGCAAAATAATGCTTTTGGTCATGAGTACTTTTAATAAAAATTTTTTTGTTTTTTTTTTTTAATTAATTAAAATAATAAATGTATATTAGGGGCAGTGAAGCAGATTGGCGTAACCAAAGTTGTTTTCTTGCAGCTTCACGTCAATGCAATTAGATTTGGTAGGATTTGAAAACAATATTTGGAATGTATGGAATATTGATATTGCCGAAAAACGTATTACCAAAAATGGCTGAAACAAATTCTATTAGACATAAATAGATGAGTTATAAATAGTTTTTAACATAATCCTAATGCGTATTCAAAGCTATTTGCTACAGTTTATTCATATACATATGTGTACGTATCCCATTGAATGTCAGTGTATTTGATAGACAAAAAAAAAAATTGTTAGATCAACGCCAGTGACCTGATCATCATTATTAAATAGTAAATGAATATAAAATATAATGAAGAAAAATTAAATTAAAAATGATTGTGTCAATTGAATTGTCATGTAAACAATTGTTTTGTAAAATATTCGAAAAAAAAAAATAATGAAAGAAAATAATTTTACTATTTAAAAAGAAACTAAAATGAAATGCGATTCCATTGTATTCAAAATTTCAATTAGAATATTCCTTTGTCAATTTTTGTAAAAATATAAAATTCTGTCATCATTCGCATCATTTTGTAATATGATATTAAAAATAAAATAATTTTCGTATTTAAAATATTTAGTTTCCTCCTTATTGGAATATGATTTACTAGAATACTATAAAAATAATCAAAATAATGTATAACATTAACCGTTACTAGTTATAGTATAGTTATAGTATACCACTCCTTTAGAATTAACTTGTATTACTTCGTTCCATTTAAGAACGTACTTTACTTTTAATTACACCAGAGTTTTTATACATATTTATTCCGGTAGATGGCTTGACATTTTTATATAGAAAATTAATGTTAATTTTTTCTTAATGCATTTCAATTTATTGGCTATGACTCCACTCAAATGAATGCCTATTGCTTATATTTTATATCAAAAAAATTTTTTTTTTTGAAATTTGAGAATCCGAAATATGTGCGACACATTGTATTCATTACTCTTAAAAATTATAAATTAACATGCGACATATTGTGTTCATTCCTTTTAAAAATTTAATTGTATACATAGAGCTCATTACACGATACGCCTTGGTTAAGATTGATTCTTTAGTTTCTACTTCTACATTATTATACTCGTAACAGAATTTCCATACAAAATAATTTGACATTAATAAACTGTTTTTTGAAAATATCCAATTACTCCGTTAAATACCGGATAGTGGAAAAAGAATGAATTTTTTTAAATCATTAAAATTAAAAAATATTGAAATCTTTACTTCGAACATAACATGCTTAAGGTTTTTACGTTTCAACGTTTTATGATAACCTTATTGTCTTTAATATATATATACGCATTTAAGTCTTAAGTATGTATATATGAATGTCTAGATGAATGTAATTCTAGGAGAACACGGTATAACATACAAATATTTCATTTTTCAAATGCATATTCATAAATTTGTAACTTTTCGCATTTGAAATATATTTTCGAAAGAATTTGTAATAAATTTCAATTAATTAATTTAATTTTTATTGTAACTTAATTTAAATATGAATAACTAGTTTGGGTGATGCTCTCATTTGCATTATAAAGGCTTTTATATATTTGATCTATGTAATAAAATTTAATAAATGCATTCTTTAAGCTTTTAAAATTTTTTATAAATCATAATTATCATAATTAAATTTCATTTATTTTTTATATAATCCACAAATGGACTAATGAAAAGAAAATTTCTCAATTATTCAATTGTTTTTTTTTTAAATCTCTATAGCTATGTAAGCTTTAATAGTAGTATTCTTTAAATTCATAATGTTCTTATAAAAGATGGCTGGTTATAATGGAAGAATTAAATGCAATTATATTTTATAAATAGAAATGCTTGTTTTTCGTATATAAATAAAAGTGTAATATTATTAATGGAAGATTATGAGAATAAACTGTGACTGAATTAAATAGGAAAAATAGCATGAATAGCATCTAAAATAAAGCTGGAACTGTGAATTCTCACGGAAATAAATATTCGCACTTTATTCTAGAAGGAGAACAGGTGGATGAGCTGTCAGAAAATAGGTGAAGAGTTGTGATGAGTTATCGAATATTTTCAGTTTATATACCCTTATTTTTATTTCATTATAAAATCTGGTTTGTATCAGTGATTAGGCTGTAGGTACATAACATGAAATTGTAATTAATATTTAATTTATTGAGGAAAATTGTTAGAAAATGGTAAATGTGTCGAAAATATTAAAAATGGAAATCAATATTTTCAAACCTATTACGTGATTTATAAAGGGAAGCGTAAAAAGAGGATATTTTTCATAAAGACCATTTTGTAGGCTTCTAGAAGATTACAGAAAAGAGAAAACTGTTCATAATTTTTTTTCTAATTTGGCTATATCAATTGTGTTACCCTGCTTTAAAAGTACTCTTTAATCTTCGTAATTCACGCATATCAGTCGAATTATAAACAGTAATTTTTGTATTAATTTAAATTTAGCTCAATAACAGGAAAGGTACTATACTCACATTCTATTGAGTCATACTTATTAGTTGTTCCTTTTAAGATCAGTTTAATAAATTGTTTACGTAAGCGAAGATATGTGTAGAAGAAACAAAATAATTATTAGAAATATTTTCGAAATTTAACTTTTGTTTCTTCTTTTTTTTTCTTTTTGGAGGAAACCGGTATAATAAAATTGATTGCAAATATTAAAGAAGAAAACAAAATAAAGATTTAATTTTTTTGTCATAAAAATGTTGAAAAGAATTTCAGGTTGGTTATCGAAATTAATTAAAAAAAAATTGGATTTATGAATATTCTGCGAAATTATCTTTGAAAATTTGTTAATTTCCAATTAATTTAAAATCTTAATATTTTTATTCAAATTTTAAAAATTGACCCATGTTTAATTCATTATTGTAAGGCTAATGAAATTTGAGTAAAAGAATTAAAAGATAATTTAAAAATACTGATTGTTATGGAAAAAAAAATCTAATGTGGCCAGCACATAACCTAACCGCAATGTATATTGTCTACTTTAGTGGAAGAGTTACAAAAAATTAAGAAAATATGTTTTAAAAACTTTTAAAATCAATTTTAAGGACTCTATTAAGCTTTTAGTTAACATTCCTCGAAAAATGTAAATTTGGTTCTTAGTACAGTTTCGCTTTGTGCCACCCGAACTTCCTGAAGAGTTCGCCAGATAGTTTCGATAAAGACTAGAACTGAAATATTAAATTTCAAGAAACCAAACTAGTTCATCTAGTTTGGTTTCCGAGCCCTGACTTTTCCAAAAAAATTATAGGGTCATTGTTTTAACACCCGGTAATTAAATGTTAAATTTAATGGAAATTGTATAATTATTTCTTTGTATATGAAATACAAAAATATAAAATCAGTCCGGTAAACAACCAAAATAAATTCATATATACAAAATTTGATCTCAAGTTCAGCCGAACTTGAAATACCTACACACACAGACAGACCGACTGACAGACATAGAGACAGGGCGACAGACAGACAACTCTCTAAAAATAGTTTATTTACGCTTCCCTACTGTAGAAAAGTGCTTTCACACCAAAAATTCGATATCCGAAATTTGGTGCCATCACTGAATCTCTCTTAATTAATATATGCAATGCGGTTGGTAAAAAATTCTGTTTTATAGGAAAAGCTTATTAGGTCAATTTTTGCCTTAATTGATTCAAAAAATATTAATATCACTGAAATCGAAACTTACGTAAAAAAATTTTAAGTTTTTTTCAAATTTTATAACAATATTTGCAACGAGAGGGCAGCATTGAATAAATATTTGGGGTTAAATTACAATAAAGTCGTGATCACCGTAAATATTTATTGATTATTTTACTCGTATTTCTCAATTAACTAAAATAACTATTATATAAGATTAATTATCAATTTAAAAAAAAATTCATAATACAAAGGTAACGTAATCTCTTAATTATTAATTTTAGTATCAATAAACCTAAAATTCTTTAAAATAAAGCCGAAACTAAAACTAAAAAATTTTTGTCGTAAGTAAAACCATAATAAATATTTATTGCTTAAATTAATAAATCATTTTCTATTTAGTAGATTGTTTAATATTAAATGTGCTTTAGTATTTTACTTAAAATTAATATGAAATATTTCTCTGAGAATTTTTAAAATATTCTTAAATAATTTGCATATCAAATGCGAATGTGTATAAATTTTTTGAATTGCAAATATTGCAAAAAGTAAAATTGAAATATTTTTCAATTTAATTTAAATAACCACTTGACATAATAATATAATATACTTTATATTTTTATGTAATATACAATTCTAAATAATTATTATAGCAAATAAAATTTATTAATAGGAAGAAATAACAAGCTATATAATTTAAATCAAAATAAATTAAATTATTTTTAAATATTTTGAAATTTGCGAACTGCAATACGAGTATTTTGTTTAAATTTTTAAATTTTTATTGTTTTAAACTCAAATACGTTTGAACATTAGTTTTGGAGTCTTGATTTCTAAATTCGATTTTATTAATATTTCATATTTTCTAAAAATTTTCTAAAAAAAATCCTCAAAAGATAGTAGAACAACTTATTTAATTTTTTTTTCTTTGGTGTAACACTATTTTACAATATTTTGTAATCAGTTTTGGAACACACTGTAAATTCCATTGTACTTTATTTAAAATAATTTTTTTTTTTTGGAAAATTTATTTATTTTTATTTTCAATCGAATGAAATGTAAATATAACAATATCCACCTTTAAAAATTTTTTTTTGCATATAAACTTTACATTTAGGCTATTTGATAAATTTTCGTATCCCCTTCACAATAATGCTATCTCATTCGCTTAAAACTCATTTGACTTAGGTTCAGGGCAGTAGAAAATTTATTAATTATTTTTGGTATTTATTGTTTTTTTTTTAGGAAAGTTCTATAATATTTTTGTTCTTTATTTATTTATTATTTTTTAAATTTATTTGTTTGTTAATTTTTTATGGAAAAATTTTGTATAATTTTTTCTAATTAATTTCTTTATTTTTTTACACAGTAGCCGTCGTAATTTTCGTAATTAAATTAATAAATAAAATTTTTAATTTATATATTTAAATAAATAATAAATTAAAGATTATTTTTATATTAATTTTTTTTAAAATTTTCTTGATTTTTTTTTTAACGGGATACAATAATCTATAAATTGATAGAAGCGTTTTTTTTTATCTACGATAAAACAAGTTAACCGAACCAGCTTTTAATTTAAACTATTTACGTGAAGCTCACTTAGTTAGACGTTAAGCAAAAGCAATATATAATTTTATTTTTTCTTCTCATTTTTCGTAACTATAAAAAATTTAGCGAAAAAACAAAAACAAAATTAAAAACAAAAAAAATATTATATAGTAGTTGTTTTAGCTGCTGGATATTTGAATTAAAATTTATCAAACTCAGCATTATCATCATTATTATCATCATCATCATAATCAATATCATGACTATGTGCAGTATATGATCTATTACAATCATCGTTGAACTTATAATATCATTGTTATTATTATTGCTTGATTTAGTACACATGTTGATCATGATCACTTTGATGATGATGATGATGATGATGATGATGATGATGATGATGATGATGATGATGATGATGATGATGATGATGATGATAATGATAATAATGATGATTCCATCAGATCATTGAAAAAAAAAAGTTCATATTTATAGTCATTAAAGTTTAAACAGAAAAAAAAAGTTCGAACAGTCGTGGAAAAAAATTATGAAAAGGATTAAGAAATAAAAATTTGATTTTAATTTTATTAAAAAATTTTAATTTAATTTTTTGTTTTTTTGGTTGTCTTCAATTAAATATAATTAAGATAATTTTATATTTGCAAAAATAATTTGAAAAAGTTTGCTCACAAATTTACAAATTCAAATAACAAACACACTAATTTAGAAATGGACAGTTGTTAAATAATTGACAATAATTGAAAATAAGTAAAAATATTGGCATTTGGCAACTGACAATTACAAATTGACAAACTGATAAATTGGATATAGAGATTGACATATTGGCAAACGTCAATTGAAAAATTGACAAATGACATCTAATTAATTGACAATTTGATAAATTGATAATTTAGATAATTTTTTTTAAATAATTGAAAATTATAAAATATCATAAAATGGTGAACAGTTTAATTAAATAAATTTCATACTATTACAGGCATTTTATATTTTATTAAATTCTTGAACATAAGTAAAAGCTCATGTGTATACAATAAATACCAAGTACATATATGTATGTATGTATTCATATGTAATATGTTTAATATTGTGGTTACTTAGATTATGCGCACGAGTGTACTAAAAAAAATTCGTTGCGATTTTATTTTATAATCTGTAACAAAAGACTTTTGGTAATCTACATAATACGTGCATACATATATAAAATGTGTATATATATATTTAAATTTTTTTTTTTGTGTACAATCAAATAGAATTTTTTGTAAATTTCTGCACAATTTATCTTTGTATTGTCTTTATGATCGTTTTCATTTATTTATTTTGTTTTTTGGGCAAGGCAAAATAAAATGTTACGCGAGTTATATGTGAATATTATATATGTATGTATGTGAACCATATGATAATCAAGTAATTCATTTAAATTTATTTTTATGAAGTAATCGACTTGTCTCTTTATTATTTATTTTATAAATTTTTATTCGTTCATTTTTTGTTTATATTTAAAAATTTATATAATATAATAAAATATATATTTAGGTGCCTATATATTATAAGATTTACATATATATACAAGTATTTTTAGAATAAAAATAAAATATTCAAGTATGTATGTATGTATGTATATAGTAGAAATGAAATTCAAATTTTCAATGTACACATACAATGATTATAATATATATATATATATATATATATATATATATATATATACTAAGTATATATACATATATAAAAGTTTGAATGAATAACACAATATAGCGAATTTTTTTTTAAATATTTTTGTTTAAAGAAAAAATTTGCTTTCTGGTGGTGTAAGGGTGACGATGATCATTATGATAATGATAAAATTTCCTTGATATTGAATTCAATTTTATTTGTTTTTGAAAATAAAATTATAATTATGAATTGTAATACCTTAAGGATGTTATTTACCTACATTTATTGTATTTTGAGGGTATATAATATGTACATTATTGTTATAAGAGTTTTTTTTTATACAATTTCCATGAAAAGAAATTATAAAATTCTTGAAATTTTTTTATATATACACTATTATGTAATTTTCCAATTTTTCATTTATTGTTTCTGTATTTCTTCTCTTCAATTATATACACATTTATATACTCAGTTGGACATCTTCTGATTTCACAAAACTATTTCTTTGAATTAAAATATACGATGAACACTATATACTATGCCTGTATACATATTATTTAACGACATATTCAATTACATACATATTTAAGAAATTCATATGCATATTGGAGAAAATCACGTTTTCTTAAAATTTATAACAAGTTCTCAAGACTAAATAGAATACTTTAAAATAATTTTTTATTAACAGGAACTGCATAATTTAATATGATAGTTTTGTGCAACTAAAAGCACAAAAATCGATAATAAATAAAAATGAATACAAAAAAACCAACAACCTGAGCTTTATAAAATTTTATATATACAAATTAGTTTTGAATGATTATGTATATACAAATTGTATATATAAGATACTGAACAAAAATATAAATTTATTTTTCAAGTTTATAAAATAAATGAACACATGCTATTATAAAATTTTTACTCTTTAATTTCACATAGACTTTTTATAATATTCTTTGAGGCCAATTAAGTTTTCATTTTATTTTACTTTTTGTTTTAATTTAATTAAAATCTTTATTTGTTTTTTTTTTGAAATTATTTAATTTAATATGAATGAGTAGTGTTGCATTTATATAAGTAAATTTACTCGTTATATATTTTATTTGTAAAAATTTATTCTTTTTTTTTCTCTTACATTTTTTGTTGAATGAATAAGAAAATTTTTAATATAATTTTTGTTGTTTACATAAGTTAGTATATTTAAATAAATTCCACCTACAATAATTTAAAAAATTTACACTTTACCATAAGATTCATAACATAAACGAGTTTATGTATAAATTTTCAGTGTACAACACTTAGATTTTAATTTTAAATTTTGTTAAAATAAAATGGAAAAATTTGATTAATATTATGTTAAATTAAATGAATTGAAATGTACATATATATAAAGAAAATTAAAAAGTTTATTGCACTCGAAAAATAATTATTTTTTCGCATACTAGATATGAAAAAAAAAATAATTTTTTTTAACACTAATTAATTAATTTTATGAATTATTTCTTGTGTAATTCGAATGATAGAAGAATAATTAAATTTACGAATATAAGTACGTTTTTAGATGTTCAATCAAGTTTAAGTGTAGGTCAAGGTTGGATTTTGAAAATTGTATTTGCAGATTGAAACAATTGCACTTATAAATTTTGAATAAAGTTGAATTAAACCAATGGTTTGTAATGTAGCACTTTTCTCTTCAGCAAGTGAAAATATTGCTTCTAAAAACATGCTTCTATATTTTAACTATAACAAACTATATTTCAAAAATTGCATACTTTTCGGGTAAGCAATGCATGCAATCTTTGAAATGAAATGAAAAAAACGTTGAAAGAGGCATCAACATAATGCTCGAATTTTAGGGTCAATTGTTTGAGTTAAAAAAAATAATTATATTGTTTGAAAGCAGTTAGCTTTCTGCGTTTGTAGAAGTTTGGAAAAGCTTATAGTTTCGGAAATATAAGGTGCCGAAATCTGAATTTTACAAATTTTGAGACATGATAACTTGGTGGGGGTGGAAAAATATTTTCTTCTAACGAAATGAATTATTTGTTAGCGTCTAATAGTTGGTAAAATTTCAGACTTCTACAATCTACGGTCTCGAAGAAAAAAAATATTAAAAATTTGCATAAAACGAATTTTAGATACGTAACGGTAAATTTTAGCACCCATTTTGTTTTTTTAAAGTTCAAATATTGCATGTTGGGGTAAAAGAAGCCAGCCACTGCTTTTTAGATGTTGCAAAATTTTAAAAATGGTTTAATTGTATCAAATAGTTGAAAAATGGCATTTTTAGGGTTTTGAAGAGGGCTATAACTTTTAGATAAAAATTTTCTTCTACGGAAAATTTTTTTAGTAAAGATCTATGTATAAATGAAATTTCAGCTTCCAATCTTCAAGGGTGTATAAGTTTTGTGAATAGACACACAGACAGATGGATGCTTCGATGGAGGGACGGTCGGACAGAGAGAGAGAAACTAATAAGAAAAGTGCTAATTTTTGGAAAAGTGCTAAGTATTAGGTAAAATCATAAATACTTACATAAATAATAATTTTTCTTATTTTTATAAGAATTAGGTGCATATTTTTATTTTCTATGTACGTTTGTTCAATTATTCCTCTGTCTATCGGTTTAAAGAATTTCTCTAAAATTTGTGTTTGAAAGATTAAATTTTGTACACAAATACTCACTCTCCACAAACTCATTCCTTTCCAAAGGCGCTAAAATGCTAGTTTTTAAAAAGCGAAATTTTTCCTTGTTTGGGATATTTAAAAACGTCTTCTCTACCATAAAAAAAAGAAAATGTCACGCCACCGATTTCACTTTTCAAATAACTGTTCAAATATCTCAAACGGCAATTTATATGGGTCAAAAATTATGAGTTATGCAAATGTCAATATGTAATTTATTGTAATGAAAAATAATTTATTTATTGTTGTTATTTCTTAATAGTGCTATATCCAAACATCAGGAACGATTTTTAAAAATACCAAGATTATAAATGTACTTCAATGTTTTAAAATTAAATAGAAATTACAATTCGCTTATTTTGTTTCATATACATACTATTGTAATATAAATGTTCCGAAATTTATTACTTAGAACTGTATAACTACCTCTTCTTAAATTGTTAAGGGTAATGTACTGTTTTACAAATCATTGATTTAATTAATCATAATTTTAATTATAGCTTGACTCTCAATGTCGCTGATAAAGGATTGAATGTAGCAGTTTATACAATTATTTTTATAGTCCACATTGAATTAAGTACACTTCTTAATTATTATGTAAAGTGAGCTATTTACAATGATAATAAAGAATTAAGTTTTTA